CATATTTACAGCTGAAGAATATATGGAACTCAAAACAACTGTCTGTCAACCAACACCGAAGTCGGGATTTTCAATACAAATGTCAAAACAGTCCTACCGTATGGGGTGGAAACTTGGAGAACTACGAAAGCCATCATCCAGAAGATACAAGTATCTACTAACAGTTGCCCACACAAAATACTTCGGATCTGTTGGTCAGACATTATCAGCAACAACCTATTGTGAGAGAGAACAAACCAGATGTCAACGGAGGAAGAAATCAGGAAGAAGCGTTAGAAGTGGGTAGGACACACATTGAGGAAAGCACCTAGCTGTGTGTCACAATGCAAGCCCTCACATGGAATCCTCAAGGCCAAATAAAGAAGAAGCGGAAGACCAAAGAACACATTACGCCGAGAAATGGAGACAGACATGAGAAAAATGAACAAAAACTGGACAGAACTGGAAGGGAAGTTTGAGGACAGAGTGGGTTGGAGAATGCTGGTCGACAGCCTATGCTCCACTGGTAGTAACAGGCGTAAAGTAAGTAAGTAAAGTAGAGATAAACAAACAATACCAATCACTGAGGTTCAACAATAGCATAACAAATGGATAAATCCTTTTGAACAGCTCGTGGATAGACCAGCAACATTGAATCTAGAGAACATCTAAGCACCACACGCAGAGCACTGCATAGATTTTACTCCACGTACAATATAAGGAATTAACAAGGTTATCAAACAAATGAGAAATAGTGAGGCAACTGTGTCAGACGGTTTTCGCCAGTTGAAACACTAGAGTTAGATGTAGGCGAATAGTGCAAATATGCTCTGTGTCCTCTTTAGGAAAATTTTAAGGGAAGAATAAATACCAATGAACTTGAAAGAATGATACCACATCAGCGTACCCAATGAAAGATTTGGGTAAGTGTGAGAAATACTAAGGGATCGTATCTTAGTCAGTGCCAGGTAAAGTTTTCAACAGATTGTCACTGAACCTAATGATAAATTCAGTAGATGCTCAACTTTGACATCAACAACATGACTTTCGTAAGGATCGATCATATACCGGTGAACTAGCGACCTAGCAAATCGTTGCCGAACAATCAATTGAGTGTAACTTATTACTATATATTTAATTCCTTGCTTATAAGAAAGCATTCATTAACATACGTTGGAAAACATTATGGAATGTTCTTTGACACTACAGTTTACCTGGAAAGATCGTCACTATCACACGGAACCGTTATGAAAGACTGGATTGCAAAGTCAGGGTAGGGTAATTAACCGACAAATTCCAAGTGAAGACTAATGTTAGGCAAGTTTTCCTAAACTCGTCTTTTCACTTAGTATAAGCTTCCTTCACCTCATTATTATAGACGTTCCTACAATTTCTCATTTGACTTAGTTTCTTTCTAGATCTCATTCATGATAATTACTAATTTTATGGAAGTTTCGGGATTACCCACAAAATCATAATTAATAAATCCACTGAAGAGCTAGGGAAATAAAGCTCTAGGTTGGCAATGTGGAGCAGTCAAGCAAAGAAATTGTTGTCCAATTCAGTATTTTTGTGTCACCAGCTACTTTATTATTCAAGGAATCATTAATAATGCGGTCTGTTTGAGGTTTAATCACGAAAAAATTACCGGAACATAAACTAGTTTATTTAAGTTCCATTTACTATCTGTATAACAGAAAGTAGGGATTAATCATGTTACACAGCCATTTTCATTTTATAAAACACGAAAAGAGTTTTTCCTGAAAATTATAAACATTCGGATCACTTTATACCGGAATTTCTGGTTAGCGGAACTCAAAACAACTGCCTGTCAACCAATATCAAATTCGGAATCTTCAATATGAACGTCTAGATAGTTCTACTGTACGGTGCTGAAACTTCGAGAACTACTTCAACCATCATCAAGAAGGTACAAGTATTTATAAACAGTTTTCTACCCAACATACTCAACGTCCGTTGGCCGGATACAATCAACATCAGCCTACTGTGTGAGAGAACAAACCAACTTCCAACTTAAGAGGAAATTAGGAAAAGACGATGGAAATGGATAGGACATATATTACGGAAACCATCAAACTACATCACGAGGCAAGCCTTAATTCTGAATCCTAAAGGGAAGCGGGAAAGAGGAAGGCCGATGAGCACAGTGCGTCGGAGATTGGAAGTAGACATGAAAAGGATGAGCAACAACTTGAAAAACTGGAAAGGATTGACGAGGACTAAGTTCGGTGGGAAAAGCGGATGGGTGACTTATGCTCCTCCACGAGTAGTAACAGGCGTAAGTAAGCAAGTAAGTAAGTAGTATCGGAATTTCAACCAAAATCTTCATGTGACAAGACAAAACTCATTTCGTATGAAAAACACTGATCGTTTTCTCGACTCTGATTAGCTCTTCACTACAGCATATTTACACGTTATTACTACGAGCGATAATTTATAGGCTGCCCAACTTGATTGTGGAAGGTTCATCAGCAAACTAAAAAAAATTCTCAAACACCACAAATTTTCGATTAGTAGGTCTTTTTTTCCTTTCTGTACTTCACAGACTTTCATGTGAAGGAAATTTCGATAATTTAAGTATTTAATTTAGTCTTCATCAACTTTTTACATGAATTAGCTACCAGCGAGATTATAATTTATGGACGAACCAATCAGATATAAGATAACAGAACTCGGATTTTGGTGCGAATCCACTCATCCATTTGGCTAAATGGAGTTTTGGCATTATAATTGATGTCAGTACGTGTTGAAAACCCTAAATCTTATTCCTAACCATTATCATCAACTGTAAATCATAATTCTGATTCTTCACACAGGTTTATAACCGTCATTTGGTCCTGGTTATTAGGTGGGCACTCTCCAGGTCAGATTAGCGTCGCTCGAAGGTCGTCCATAAATCATAGTCTCACTTAGCTACCCTAAAACTGTATATTCAGTTTTACCGTCATAAATATAAGATATAAAGTTTTACTGATAATTGTCAGTCACTGTAACGATAACGTCAATGAATTACAGATACAACCAATTATTATTGCTTATTGTCGAATATTATTCACTTTTATCTTTCTATTTAAATACTGTCTATTCATTTGCAATCTAGTTTCTGTCACTAAATGATTTCAGCCGGTTAATAACTGAAAATCTAAATGTTAAATATATATAAATGACAATATTCGTCATGCAACTATCGTGATTTAAATGCAGTTGGAAAAGTGGACTATTATTTTCAGTGTTTTTGAATTATGCAAGATGAAAGAATTGAATGTTCTTGGTTCTTTCTGGTTTATGGTTGAAGATATAAACTGATAAGCTGTCCAATGTTAGAATAAAGCCGTATTCAATATTGGCTGATTTTCAGTGGTTCACTGGGTAAGGATGAAACCAATATCCAGTAACTTTCATGCCACTAACAGTTTATTCAATTAGTTATTTCAAACAATGCATGTGTAGTTGTTTAACCAAATGTGATCTTGGAGTATTGGATCAGTTTTATGTTCTTTATATGAAATTCTGCAGTATCTAGTACCCTTAATATGGTCTAAAATCGTAAAACCAATAATTAAATCTAATGTTAACCTCATCCTCAACAAGTGTGAAATAAAGGAGAGAATTTTATTTGAAAGCTTTAATCCATGAAGAAAAATGTGATTAAATGAATTGATTGAAGATTGAAAACAAGAACAAACATTAGCAGAATCAGATCTACTAAAAAACCCTCGACTAAAAATACTGATGACAAAATAGTCTTAATTTAGTAGCATTCAGTTTGTCCTATTTTCCATTAGTTTATATGTTGCGTCTTGACACTTGATTGAGTTTGGCTTATGATAACTGTTATTATGTGCGATTGGAATCTATCAAGAACTTGATAAGGCAGCAACTGGCTCACATAGCTCTTCAATGATTGTTTCTTTAGTTAGTCTACGATGTCGATGAAAGTTAGATTTGCTACTGTCGATGATGATTCGCTTACTTTTAACAGATAATTGAAAGAGTTTGAAATTTCGGATTTTGAAGTCAGTAAATGAGTTTGTTTATGAGGAGTAAGACAATACAGTATAGTACGTAGACATACCAGGTCCATCTAGATATAAGGTTAATTATAATGGCGGACATATATGTACACTTATTATATATAGAAGAGAGAAATATCAGAAAAAATTTACCTACTAACCCTATTTCCTCATTTTCACCAAACTTATTCACATTCACTTAAGCATACAAACAAATATCTAAAGTTATATGATACAACACACTGCGACGTGTGTGTGTGTATGTACGTCTATGCCTATATGTGAGCATTAAAGAAAATTGTGAAAGGATGAATTACATATATATGTAACGGGAGGCATATTTGTATGAGGGCTCATTGAGGATGAGACTTTCAGACAGGGATGAGCTTTTTTTCCAGGAGACAGAAAGTAAAAAAAATTACTGATTGTAAAATTTTCTGCCACATGATATATGTATATATCTCTATATACATTGAAGATAATTTTCACCTACGCACATCAAAATTATCATATCTTAAGATGAGTTGATATCCTATGTCTCAGTAGTATCCATAGGTATATATATATATATATATATATATATATATATATATATATATATATATATATATATATATATATATATATATATATATATATGAAATCATACATGCATACATATAAGTAAAGACCGATAGACAGGTGTGGTATTACGTTACATTACAAGTTCTATAATTATTCACATATACATAGATACACACACATACATAGATACAAACAAGAAAATTCTGACAGGGATGTATGAATGAATAAGATCAAGACTTTTGTAAAAATAAATTTTTTTTTGAATCAGGTATAACATTTCCCTTCACTAAACGAGATATATATAGGCAATGATTACTCACTACACCCTTATTTTCAATCCCAGTTTATCGCTCAATTTAACTACGTCTTAGTATTTACAAAAAAAAGTGACTATTTTATTCAAACCCAATTCTTGAGATCAGTTTCTTTTTTATTCAAATCTGAAAATCATAATTATGAATAAAATATTGACCTAAATGTAAGTCAATAATTGATATTTATTGTGAGTAGTATCTCTGGTAGTATTAAGTAATATATATATCTACATAAATGTATTATATCATGGAATCTTAAGTTTTATTTGTTATATTATTAGCAAATAATAAAATATTATCATTCTTGGTCAACTTTAAAAATCAATGTTGTATCATTCAGTCCATAGACCTCATAAAGGATTTTTCACTGTTAAGTTTTTAGTGTTGCCAATGATGCTATTATGATCTATTTTGCTCAATGATTAGGAGCAAGTCACCAAAAACCTTAAACTTTAGTCAATATACTTGATTCCAGCTATAAGGTAATAGTAGTATGAGAACAATATAAAATGTGTACACTTTAAATAGTAGATACACTTTTGTGATAACTATTCAACTAATTAGGAATCTAAATCAAAGATTCCCTACCAATCATCTCCATCTATTCAACAATAAAATATGCTTTCAAACAACAGTAGTTGACCACTAAAGAGAACAATGATCACAATGTATAGTTTTAACGTTCATATTTATTAAGTTTCAAAGTTAGATAAAGCACCAGTTTGTTTATTATTTTATGTTCAATTGGTAACTGAAGATAATTTCGTTAAAAAAATAATGAAATCTTTTTTGCATGAACTATATTATGTAATCTGTAAATCAAGTGAAGTTATTCAACTTCTGAAGGATCATAACCATGTAGTAATATCAATGTCATCTTCATCTGATACTGACTGACTTTTGTCGATAACTACAATGACGTATCTAAAGCTATGAAAATGTTTTAAACAATGTGATGATTGTTTATGTTAGTTACATTGTTCTTATACAGACAGTATACTTTCGCTTTGCCACCCCCCCCCCTTTAGAGTAATTTTCATCCTATAAATGATAAGTGGTCGATATTCTCTCTTTCTTCTATTATTTATTTCAATCAATCTTTCAGATTATTTTTCACAATTAGTACAACTGTATTTGTTTCTTTTTAAAGACAATATGATTGTCTTATAAGGCATCAATGTTACTGATAAATACTTGAATTGCTGACCCTGAAATGTATCATAAACACAGTAATTCATCCGGAAATTTAGTAAAAAACAAAAGTTGTACGGATGACAAATAAAGTTGTTCAGTAAACATATAGAGATATTCGATTCCAGGACCTATTGGTCTCACATGCGAACGCTTAATCTCTAGACCACCAAGCCGTCATCCAATGGTGTTATTGTCTACTGAGGTGTCCCACATTAAGACGAAACAATCATTCATTAATATCCTGCACTACGTATATCATTTACACATATTACCAATTAGCTGACACTAACAATTACAATTAACAACATTTATGTGACATTATTTCTTATTGAAGAGTATCTATTTTACCACTACACATGAATTCGTGTTTAAATAACTCAAATGAAAAGGAAACACGTTTCCAAAAGATATTGATTTATGTCGTTTTTCAGAGATTTTGTTTAATTTGAAGAGTATCAGTTCCCTAAATCTTGATCTTGTTAATTTAGATTAGGAATTTCAGTGAACAGATCTACATTATACTCGTTCTAAAGATTTATATTGGGGTATGCCTTTCCAGAGAGGGTGCTTTGATTTTTCATTTTAATTACAAGCTTTCGGTACATTTAATTATAGGCTCTCTTGGTTCTTTTCGGAACTAGTAGATTAGATATCCATTTATCCTAGTTATTTAGTGACACTCCAATACAGCACCCATTTACTAAAATCGATTTGCTACCGACTTGTTCAAAATTTGGAAGTTACTTGTAAAAATCAGTATTTTCTGTGATCGATATTCACAGTACTCATAGATACTATAATATCAGTATGTAGAGAATTTCATAAGTTCCACTGAAATTAAAATCAAATTCACCTTAGTATTTTAGAGATATTTTACTTCATGAACTGTATACAAATCACTGAGCGAATATACTTTGATTCTATTTTAAGACTCCTAACCAATGTTCATCACTACTGACTAGCTTCGTTAGGGAATTCTCGGAGTTCTAGTGAGAAGCCGTGACCAGTGGAACTAATCCGTGTCGGGTAGAGACAATTTCGTGGATTGGTTGAGGCTAGACATTAACACCACTGGATGATGACTCAGTGGTGTAGAGGTTGAGCGTTCGCATGCGAGACTGGTAGGTCCTAGGTTCGAATCTCGCGAGCGGAATTGGGGATGTGCACTACTGAGGAGCCCCGCGATAAGACGAAACAGCCTTTCAGCACCTCCAGGTTTTTAATGGTGGTCTAACATCAATCGATTCATGATCTCAATTAAAAAAACATTTTCTAAGCGTTTCTTCTTTTCTGATGGTTCTTCAGTTGATGTCTGTACACGTTGAAAGATCATTCTTCATGTAACACAAATCTCTTTATCGAATATCATGGAGAATATAGTAATTGTATTCACTTGAAAAACTAAACAAACAAAGTTTGTTGTTATTTTGTAAAAGAGTTTTATTTTCCTGAAAATTCTCAGTAAATAAAGTTCAACAATGCTAACACTTAATAATCATCAGTTCAGACGAATTCATCATGTAAATATTTACAAAAAAATGTCAGCATAATTTCATGAATATCAGAAGGGGTTTTTGTGGATATTATAGTAATTTCAATAGTTGAGATCATTAGTCAATTGAAGTTAGACCACCATGGAAAATCTGGGAAACGCTAGACGTCCGTTGCGTCCAATTTTGGGACTCCTCAGCAGTGCACATCCACGATCTTGCCTCGCGAGATTCGAACTCAAGATTTATTGGTCTCGCACGTGAGCGCTTAATCATTAGATGATGATGATGATGATGATGATGATGTTTTCATCAGAAAAAACTAAAACACGAGTGATTTATCAGATTGTGAACTTACATGCTTCTCGGCTCTCTTCATCTTTTTACCAAATATCTGAATGAAATTATTCATTCTTTGTCTGAATACACTTTTTTTTTCATTTACACCGAATATTACTTTGATTTCTAATGAAGTAAAAAAGGGAAACACTTGCCATTAAATAATAAATTACTTATTGCGTAGACGTAATATACGACAGCATTTGAACTTCGACACCATAATTGACAACGTATGGTGATCTTGTCGTAGTGAAAATCACTTAAAATTTAGAACTTTGAACTGATAAATATTAACTCAGGGGTAGAGTGCTATCGCGAGTATTGTGATGCTCTGATTTTATATTTTTAAATGGATACTAAATGCAAACCAAAAACTAGGAAGATACAGCTGTTGATTCGGTTTTCGTATTTTAAACGTTTTCCAGTTACAACTAATCAATGATCTAAAATCACTGTGAAACGTAGATCCAAGAATTTTGAAGATAATACGATGTAAGATAATTCGAAACAACATATAGAAGTTATAATTTTCATATATCGGGTATTTGTGATGGTCTGAGGTAAAAATGATTGTTAAGGAAAGCAGCATTTGTACAGTTTCACAACTATAAGAAATGATCATTGGCTTTGAATTGTTTTTTAATAGCCAGAAATTAATATACAGGTTATTCAAGACGTTATTGTTTGGTCCTGACAAACTCTTGATCGTCCAAATAAATAACGTATTCCGTCAACTGAAATACCCAAAGTTGCTTATCGTGAACCTGGAATTTTAATCATTGGTAGGCTAAGTCTCACATACAGTGTACGCTGTTTGCAAAAAATAAACCGTCTAATTGGGACAAGTGCAGAGTTAATATTGTTATTATTATTAAACTGTTCTACAGTCAGTTCGCACAGAAAATCAGTTTCTATTTATTATCCTAATACCCATTTAACTTAACAACTGTTGCTTTTTTTTAATGGTAAGCTGACTGCAGAAAACTGAGTGATAATAACGATCTACGATGGATGTTTTATCCTATTTGAGACTATTCAGCTACATCTACCCGATTCCCAACGTTGATTCTCAAACACTCAGATTCAGAACTAGTACTAGTTACTTTAACCACCTGTGTAATTAATTAGAATTTACATAAAACATCAAGGTATTTTCTCAAGAAACCAATATGATAACAGGGAAATTGATTAATAACAGTCCTGAAAGTCTGTAACTAGAAAATTCAAAATCTTATGAATAACACATCCATCGAGCAAGTTGTATGATTGTCTAATGATTTGGTGGCATGTGAAACAAAAAAGTCAACGATCTCTACAACTGTATGCTTGCAATTGCCATGTAGTCACTTGTGACTAGTTTCGTGAGGAGATTCTCGGAGTTTTATTGGGAAGCCTTGGTTAATAGAGTCTGACTGTGTCGAGCAGTTATTCATCGTAGACAGCAAAAGATGGTCGCGCAATCTTGCGGATTGTTTGAAGTTAAACGTAAGCACCGTTAGGTGCCAACTCAGTGATCCAGAAGTTGAGCGTTTGTCTAATACTGAAGGTCCTGTGTTCCAGTCCCTTGTATGATCTACAGGACAATGTGTGACCTACATGTGTAGAAATTTGAACGCCTTACTTCTACTGAAGTTTGTGCTGATGATGTCCTTCAGAAGAGAGGTGAAAGCCCCACGACCAAACCATCGAGCTCAAAGAACAAAACTCTATCAAAATCATCCACCTGAGCTATAAATCTTCTCCACCATCTCAAGGGCTGAGTTTGTATGCAACGTTCAACATACCAGATGAAAAATACATCAACTTTAAAAGTTAAAATTGAATCCCTAAAGAATGTTCCACTTCAATTCGCGACATTTACTGGGTGAAGAAATGGCAAACAAAATTGAGTTAAACTGATGGATACAACAACAGTAAAAAGTTTGCTGATAACAGTCTTAAAACTGGGGATTACTCTATGAATTCTGAGAAGAAAAACTAGTCTGCTTTCCTGATTCCGATTACCTCAGCAGAAATAATTCACTATTTTCTACTGCTACTACTACTAGTACTTCTATGTTCTGTTCATTTGAAATTCAGAGTATACTTTTCAGTGACATAACATCTTCAGTATAGGGTTATGGAGATTATTATGTTAGACC